TAATAATAATAAGGCATGATTATAGTTTAGGCTGAGCATAGTGCAAATTTAACATCACAAGAAATAAGATAAAAACACTTTCCAATATGTCATGTTAAATAATTGCAGTTAAAGTGGTTTCTACTGCAATTCTCACATATATACAATAAGTCTGAAATATATAAATAATGCAAATCAATTTCCAGTAAGATAAGAATATAATTTGAAGAAAGGAGCAAGAAATGAGAGTATATTGATGCCAATATCGGGTTTTAATGAGTTTCCAACCACAGCAAATATCATCTGTGCAAACAGTTTGCATTGGCATTTTTAATCATGTTTTGTTAAACGATTTTCAGCATTTGAAAGACAGAGACTTGCTTTAGAACACTGTTTTGTGAAATTTGTTAAAAAAATATCGTTATCATTAAGTAAAAGGTGTCTGAAATGGAACTATCATGCTAACCGATTAGAACCATTATTTACTTCCAATATTGAAGAAGCAGAGTGCTCTGGCCAGCCTTCTGATGTTGATGAGGCCCGCCTGTGAGAACTTGTGTAAAGAGATCAGTATGCAACTACTCAAGAGCCTGCTAAAGAGCTAAAGGGAAAATGTCAAATTGAGTTCTGGTGTAAAAAAAAAATAATGTTCCAGTAAGGTAATAAAAGACCATGTGTCTGCGTTCACCAGCTGGACTCTGTATGGACTTGAATGGGATCTTTTGCCCCACTCACCATATAACAGTGACATTCCTCCGTTCGACTTCTACTTTTTTCACACCTGCAACTACATCTTGCTGGTGCTATCTTCCATTCTGCAGAGGACATCTGAAATGAGGTTGATCTGTTTTTGGACTCGCAGCCACCAAGTTTCTGGGCCGAAGGCTTTGAAAAACTACCAAAACATTGGCAGAAAATCATAGATTTGGATGATGATTACTACCTGCATTTTCATATTTTTTTCCCCCTAACTTTATAAAGAACATGTTTTGAGGGAAAACTTGCATTACAACCAGATAGTTCTAGTTAATTGCTACTAAAGTCTCTAGAATCAAAATACCAATTCAGAAGTCAAACAACAAAAATCAGCGTTATTTTTCAAATTTTCACAGAAAAAATTTTAAAATTTGAAAAATAATGCTGATTTTTGTTGTTTGACTTCTGAATCAGTATTTATTTGGCATGTTATTGTGTCTTAATTATCAAAATACCAATTTATATTTACAAATGTCATTGGAATGCTTGAAGCTAGCCATCAATATTCAGAAGTACTACATGATTTTAAGGTGGAAAAATATTTATATTACATAAGTCGTTTATGAATTTTGCATTAGAAAAACAGCAGAATTTCACAAAATTCAAAACTGTTTCACAGAAATTGACTATAATGGATGTTTTCTTTAATTATTCAAAAATAGCCAAACATGGTTAATTGTCAGTTTTGCTAATTATTTGGATATCCTAATGATATACACATGCTAACATGCTATACAACCTAACAAACAAGTAAGAACTTTACAAACTTACCATAATTCGACTTTATATGAAAGAATAGAGAGGAAAAGAAAAATTTACCATTTTATGCTTTCTCCCAATTTCAAAATCCAGATACAACAGTATTTCAGTATCCTTTGGAGCAAAGGTTATGCAGATTGGATAATTTTGCAGAACATATGCCATGCCTGAGTTTTGTTAGCATTTTAGTTACATTTGGGATTGGGATTATTCAATTATGGCAAAGCACACAAAGGCTATCTGCCTAAAGGAAGGGGTGCCTTCGTGGAGGACTTTAAGGGGGTAACTGCTCTTTATCCCTTGACAACATTGAGAAACCACGAAAACGCCCATGCTGCCAGCCCGTTCGCGGGATTCGAACCTCGGACCGAACTACCAGTGTTCAGCGTCTTTACCACTCAGCCACTGGTGGGCCTTTAGTTACATTTGGATTAGTTGCACACAAGCAATAAATAAAATATGTTCCTACCTTAAGAATTATTTAATCAAGCTTTATTGAATGCAAATCTGGTAAATTTTTAAATAAAATCATATATACATACAATAATAATAATAATGTGAATCATACAAGGGATAAATATTCTGCAAAGAGAAAGGGATAATGTTTTGACAGAATAAAGAACTCTTATAAAAAAAGCAATGAAATATTCTACATAATAATAATAAACTGTAAATCCACTGAGAAAATTCTAAATATTTTTTATGATCTCCAACAAAAGAGAGATATGTAAATAAATATACAATATTTACAAAGAAAATCAAGAAGTACAATTTTTCATACAATTAATCGCTATGCTACTGTCTGTAAAATTGGATATTCAAAACTGACATTTCACACATGCAAAATTGGATTGATAACTTACTAGCACAAACAAAACAGCAATTCTTAGATAATTAAACAAGATTTTCTTTTCTTTGCCTTATTTTCCATTTTTAATGTTTAAAAAAAAACTCTGCAAATATTATTTATAAGATTCTGTTTTTATAGAAACTTTCTCATTTCATAGTATATAAACAAATTAGCTAGAAGATGCATTAATTCGGAGCTTGATGCCTGAAATGGGATGAACAAATAAATTCTTAACCACACAAACTTAAATTTTACATTATACAAGGAGTGCTGATGGGTGCACAAAAAATGGTAAATAGCTGCAATAACAACATAAATTTACTTCTTTAATCCAAATATATTATAAATATAATATACTTTCATTAAAAAGGTCTATTTGAATATGTATATACGGAAAAAAAACTTTTGTATATGCCTTTAAATTTGCCATGCTGAATTTTCTAAAAACCAAAACTTTATTTGTCCAGAAATGAATATAAATTACAGGCATTTGCAGATTGATATAATACATAATTCTTGGGTATAAGATATTCATATTTTATTAGTTAATCTATCCTTCACCTCTGTTTGTTTGTTAGACAAGTTCCGTGCAGGAGATCTTGAGGACTAACTTAGATACATCTCATCATCCTCAGATAATAATGCTTAATTTTTTTTATTTGAGCAAATTCAAAATATCCATCACCACATTAAATGTGCATCACGCAGCAAAATTATTCACTTAAAAAATCAAATTAAGAAGATTGGTTAAGAGAGATTAATTAATTAGCATAAATTTTTCCATTTATTTTAGACTGGTTCTCTACCTTTCTTGAAATATACGTATAAGAATTTATGAATGTAATAAAAAAGAATATAAAACATGCCAGGAAAGAGGAAGAAAAATAGTTTAATAAAATATACCAGTGAATGTCTTTTAGCTGAACGTTTCTTTTACTGATATGATCTGGCTCTCGTTTACTGTTTGTAGCAATGCCACCATAATCATAACCTAGGGAAAAAAGACAGATTTAGTATTAATATGAATGCAAGTAATACGAACATTTTTCTTTAGAATGGGGGTAAGAAGTTAAGTTAACACAAGAAATTTAAATATATAACCAGTCTTTAATTTTCACCAGTAAAAAAGAATATGTATAAGAAAGAAGGAGCTAAGAGATGAAGTTAACATGATTTAAGCACATGACTAGTTTACAATCTTTACAAGCAAAAATGAGTAATAACAATAATTGGGGAAATGAAATGTTCATTATATAACACAATTCTCTTTTTCCCCCTCCTAGAAAAGTGTAAGAGATAGAGTTTACACAAGAAATTTTGACATATTATTTAGCATGTAACATTTAAAATTAAAATAAATAAGCATGATAATCAGGAGGGATTTGTTAGATTATTCAAACATTTTTCTTCTTCAGTAATGGAGCTACAACAAAAAATTTTAGCATAATGAAAAACCAGAAGAATTTCTACTCTGGAGACTTTATTAAAAAAATTAATATAAAAATCAGCCAAAGGGACAACTCATTCTGTCTATTTTTAACAAAGTTTTATTCTCTTTGGAACTATATTACTTGAAATTAAAGCAATGATCTGAACTAGGATGATTCATACACAATCTATAGTTATTTAAGCATAGAATTCTCCTTCTAGCATGAAAATTTTAAAAATCTTTGTTCTTTTATATAACTATTTTATTTTACCAAATACCAGAAAATATTGATGCGAGAAAATATCAACTTAATTCGTATACAGTTTAAACATCATTTATTGTATGAATAGAATTAGTGGTGATATTCAATGCACTTCTTAAAGGGAGCAAAGAAAGTAAAAAGAGGGGATATTTAAAAGCTAAGGAATTTTAAATTTACTGACATTATTATTTTGTTCAAAAGGGGGAGGACTTCCTTTTAAATAACAGAAAACATTTAAGCCAGGGATTCTCAACCAGTGGTACGCATACCACTGGTGGTATGCAAAGAAACAAAGCATTTTTAACTATTAAATTAAAAAATTAAAACCTCTACATCCTGATTGAGTTTTTCTCTAACACTCGCAAATTTATGTGACCTGAGCTTTGTTCAAGGTCAATAGCCGCTTATAGACTTCAACAAGAGCCGAACAATCTGTCTTCATGCTAGTTTTTGTGGTTCTTCCATGTTGTATGTTTAACAAATATTCTTTCAGCCATAGACATAAAAAATTTGCCTTAAATGATTTTTTTAAAAAGAAATGATAAAAATGGATGCTCTAATATAATAAAAATAAGATCCTATAAAAAAGATAATAGTATCTCATAAATTCTCTTAGAGTTTATCGATTTATTAACATGTCAGCACTTTATGTCGCCATTTCTGGGTTCATAGTGCTCCATTTTCAATGAGAATCACTTTTTACATCGGTTTGCTGTCTCTAACAATAGGTATTTTCTGTTCTCCTTGCTTTGCATTTCTTACTTTTCTACGCAATTTGAGAAAATCGTCATCTGCTTTTGAAGAACTCGTAATATATTGTGCAATTACATACTTGTGAAAAAATAATAAAACAAACCTAGATTTTCAAAATGGAAAAATGGCTAAGATTCACTAAGTGTAAAAGTGGCAATTCACAGCTGATGGATCCAGGACAATCTACTAGCACTAAGAATATTAAAAAGAAAAGAAATATTGTTTCTAGAAAATATAATGACAGTTACTTATCATTTGAATTTACTTGGAATGGAGATGAAACGGAACCTCAACCTCAGTGTGTTGTTTGCGATGAACTACTATCCAATCAAAGTATGAAACCATTGTTTCTTAAAAGACATCTTGAATCTAAGCATGGCAATTTGAAGGATAACTCTGAAGATTATTTTAAGAGGGTATTATCGGAGCTCCAAAAAAGTTGACAAGTAATGAAAGGTTTTTATACTTCAAGCAAAAGAGCTTTGGAAGCTAGTTACCTGGTAAGCATAAGAATTGTTAAGACTGGGCAGGCCAAAATGAATTTGAAAGTAGAAGAATTAGCATCCGACATTAAAAATCATTGTTTTTCATTGATAAATAATTTCATTATGTATTTTCCTGAGGATTATGAAAAAGAAAATTTTATTAGAAATCCATTTTGTTCAGATATAAATGGAATTTCATCTCATCGACAAAAGAACTTGATAGAAATTTTCTATGACCGAACTCTAACTGAAATTTCAAAAATACACATGTTTAAAGTGTGTCTTAATGATATAATATAATAAAATATAATACTAATACTCAGTAATAATAATAATAATTTTAAAAAACATTTAGAAGCACTTCAAATAAAGCTTTACATGTTTATTGCCTTTTATACAACCTATATGTGTGAACAAGGATTTCCTGCCATGTTAAGTTTAAAAATTAAATGTGGATTCTAATTTAAGCTTAAAACTAAGTGAAATAAGACTAGACATAAAGAAATTGAGATTTCTCTTAAACAGGCCCAAATTTCGCTCTAAATTTTATAATTAACGTATTATAACTCAAATTTTGATAATTAAAACAGTAACCAATTTTTAATTTAATATTTTTATGTGCACATATTTAATTCAAATAGGTTGGCAAATGGCAAAATAATTTTTAGCCCAAAGGGCGTTAGACCAGCAGGGCTATTAATTTCAAAACAGCATTTTGTGCCAATTCACTTTTCAAACTGTTGCCGCTAAATATTATCGCTATGTATTATATTTAAAGAATGAATTAATAATGAAGAATCTGCATGAATGCATGAATGTTCCTTGCATTGTGAAAAAACAATGGTACCTAGAGCCATCGAATTTTGAATAATGTAGTCTTCCACACGAACATGGCCACTTGGATGCCCGAATTTTTAATTTGTTTTATTATTTATTTCAAATTTTGCAAAATTTTAACAAATTTTTTATTAACAAACTCAACTATTTCAAAGCGAGCAATGGCAAAACTATGGAAGGGGGGTATTTTTGTTTTATCTCTAGTGCGCGAGACTGTGTATCGGAAACTCTAAACATATGCTAATTCAGAATTATTTTGCGATATTGCTGAATTGAATTGAATTTTATGGTTTAAGTGCAAAGAATATGATATTCAATAAATTAACGTAACACAGAAAAGGTTAAAAAAGTCTCCTTTGGACACCAGCAAAATCTGAAACACTTCAGAATTTTTTTATATTATTATTATTTTTAAGTTCTTTCTAGTCAGAAACTGAAAAATACCGTATTATGCTAATCTAAATGCGGCATCCCCATTTTAAAACTTTAAATAAGAAAACATTTTTTGTCGGCGAATGTAATGCCGCCTCAATGGTAAAAGGAATTTATTAATCTTCTTTTATACACAATGGATTGGTATAACAACTACTCATCAATGGTAGATAAATTTTATTTGAATTTAGATACCATATTTTATACAACAATGGAATGTATATACATAAAGTTCAGAGCACTAAGTAAGTAGCCTAGTCTGGGCTATTTGTTATGTGAAACAATCATTGTTAATTACCACTACTGTATATACGGTACATATCGTAGTATAACATGAAATAAATCTAACATTTCTATCTAGCTACGTTTCTACAAGCAGTGATTAATAGTAACGTCTTTTATTCACTATTTTGATGATCACTTCTTAGTCCCCTTCTTTACGTAATGGTGTTCTTAGGAGGCATCTCAAACCAATTGGCCGTCTCGTCAGACCTTGGCCAATTTTGCCCCCTTGAAAATTCTTTTCTTTTTCCTTCCAAGTGTGATGACACAACCGCTAAAAGTTAGTAGTTTCCCCTCAAAATCTGCAGGAAGCTTTGGCATATTGTTGTATACTGTGCGTCTAGAGATAGCCCACCACTTCATCACCGATCGCACCCATCCACGGCTAGCTTTAAACTCTGGTTTCGTATTCCAAGAACTTCAGCCTCCTCTTTTTGCTTATTTCTTATAGTGTCACTAGTCCACAGGTTGTCCATTCTTCCCTACCTTTCATGTACAAATTCCAAACTGTTTCTTCCATTTTAGGGTGCTTCTTTGCGAGGCCATGAAGTTCTTCTACTAGTTTTAGAGTTTTCAAACGGCCATTTCTGTTGCCAGCCACAAGCGAACTTGCTCTCAGCTACATTTTAACTCTCTCCCAGCCTTTCTATGCCATTTTCTTTTCAGGATAGAATTACTTTACGTTTGAAATATCGTCATATGACATTCTTCTCTGCTTTCCCTCCATTTCGTGACTACGTACTCTGCCTGTTTGTATCCTCTATGCAATAATTGTCCACCATAATGTAACGTATGTAAATGTAATCGCGAAATCCAGTAATCATGTTACATTTAAATTTGGGTTGACGTCATCGGCGAACTTTGCACTCGAATCTAATGCACCATCGAATCTAAAGCGCACCCCAATTTTGAGTACATTTGGCCAAAAACGATGCGCATTAGATTCGCGTAAATACGGTAATCATTGTAAAATATAGTGGTGGTACTTAAGGTTTTCAATTTTAGTTTAGATGGTACTCATTACTCAAAAGGTAAAGAACCGCTGATCTAAGCTCTCTTATTATTCCACAAAATAATCCTCAGTTGATGACATGCAGAAAAAAAATACAACATTCATTTTGAGTGGTAATAATGACAGAAAGGAAAAATCAAATAAAGGGAGGGGGAAAGCAATGTAACTTTGCTTTGTATAAATAAGGACATTCAAATCACACAACAGCCAGCATTAACCAACAAACATTCAATGGCAATTTTTTTTTAGTGAAATATCAGAACCTAACACAAAAGAATAATAATTAAAAAATAATGGCTTAAAAATTATGAAGAAGAAAGAGATATAATGTTGAACAATTAAGCTTATAAAAAGTTTAAAACTATTGATAACTGAAAACACAGCTTCAAAACAAACTAATAACAAGTTTAATCTACAGATTAGAACAGCTGAATGAGCTAGTAAGTTTACAGGCTTTATTCCACTTCCTGTTCCTTTAAAAAATACGGCATAATAATAAAAAGTTATTGATTATGACAGAAATGGAGAACAATAGATGGCAAAAAATTGAAAAATTCAATATTTCTGAAAACTTTAGTTTATTCAGATCAGATGGAAAGATGACATGGGGGGGGGAGATAACTGGTGAAGTTTTAGTTGTAAAGTATTTACATTGTTTTCATGATAAAATACCATATTAACAGACTAGAATAAACGAAAGCAGAAAAAATATTGCAGTCCCACTAGTAGTTGAGTATTTAAGACCACTGAATACTAGTAGTTTGATACCAGGTGAACCACTGGCTACGTGGTTAGCTTTTGTGGTATTCCCTTATGTGTAATGTGAACAGGAGCCAGTTTCCCTCAGAAAGCCCTCCGTGAAGGTATCTCTCCTCTTAGGGAGATAGCTCTCATGGCTTTTCCATACTCAAATAACCTAAACTTAATATTAGAAAAAAATGAAAAGATATATATCTGAAAATTAACTCTGGAAAAAGTAAGTAAGACTAAAAAAATCTAAAAATGAGTAACAGAATGTATATTCCTAAAATGAAAGAGACTTAAATAAAAGAATAATGCAATTAGGCTTGTCTGGGAGTTCAACATTTATAAATATTCATCTGCTCATTTAAACAAATTCTAATCTTATAACTGCCATAGCAGGTCAAAGAAATGGAGGAAGAACCACGAAAAAATTCCTTTTATAGCCAGGCTACAGTCCAAATACTAATCCAAAAAGAAACTTACAGTACAAAATAAGTAATTGTAACTAAAGAGCAGCATATTTTTATTTTATGGCTCCTATCCCACAGATGAAACAATTAATGGCACAAAGTAATAAAAAATAATAACATAGAAAATCTCAATGGTTCTTTGCCTCCCAAAAAAGGTGGCTTTATCACAATAAACTATAGAGCAACAAATATTATTTGAATAATTTAATTAACAGGAATATTTTCTGTGAAATGTCTGAAAAATGTTACTTCTCACATGAGGTGAGCCTTTTGCTAAATTATTCTAAGCAATGTAAGGAAGCTTTCAAAATAAATCAAAATATGAGAAATATCAAAATAATTTATTTTCTGCCTAAATATTTTAATCAGTTATGTTGATAACATTAGCATTTAAAGGGCACGGACTTATTTCAAAATGATAAATGAAAATAAACTGCTTTTTCTACCACTCCCCCCTCAAAATTGCAAACTATAAAGTGATTGAAAAGTAAGAATAACTGAAGAAACAAAGGTCAAGAACAAATGGAACTTAAAATATGCTATAAAGAACAGTCAATAATAACTTCTGAACTTTATCTTAATAACTAGTTCTATGAAAAAATATGACAATTGTCATATTAGTGATTCAGTTGAAATAGCAATAATTCCTACAAAAGTGAATCACTGCAAAATCTGAGCCTATCCTTTATGAAAGAGAAAAAAATAATTTAAGAATTTATCTGCATTAAATATGAATAACATTCTATGAACTTTATATATACTAAAAAAATCATAGGAGCAAGACTGAAATAATATAAAAAATCTATATGCAGTTTCTCTGTTCTTTGAAATCAAATATTCGGGAGTTAAATTTGAATGGCAATAGAACAGACAGATCAGTGTACAAAGTTATAAAGAAGTGTATGTGAAAATTCAGGGGATGCTACTCTAATTTTGCTTACAGTGCAGATAAAAAGATCCCAATAATAAATTAATTTTGCTACAATCACTGGCTTTTGAAAGCAAAATATATAGTTACAAAGTTGATGGAAGAAGTTTTGTACAATCATGCCATATTCAGCTATTAAAATCTTCAGTTCAGACATATAAAACATATTTCTGCAATATGAAATCTCATGAGAAACAGAAAAGTATAAAAATATTCTGTTACATTTAATACTTCACATCCATCTGAGGAACATAAATTTTCAGCACATCCAGTAATTGTATTCATGTTAAGGGCCTTACTACTATAAGGACTACGAAACTACATTCTGAAGGTATGTATTCTGAAGGGGGGAGGGGGATCTGTTTGATTAAAGACGTCAGCAAAAGTCAAAGTAATGATACTTTCATTTTCTACTTTTTAAGCTACAGAGGTAGCAAACTTAACTGCCCAAACTGTTAAATGCTGCCAAATGCTTATGCTGTGACTGCTTTATAAGGAAATACTGCCAAAAACTATTTGGAAAATTTTACATGTTTATCAGATTCAAAACTCCAATTTCATAATTATCTGAACTGACTTGATCAACTCAGAAGTCAATTACTGTAATTTACAATAAATTATAAAATGTAAATTATGGATTAACAAAGTATGATCTATAAGAAGAAACAAACTTCTTTCTTTGATTATGAAATTACTTAAAGGATTTTAGATAGATTTTAAAAACAATAGAAAATACATTTCAGAAAAATTCTTCAAATAGGAGTATGTAGAGTAAACAATTAATATTTGTTTTTAATTTTATGTTTATTTACTTAAAGTGGACACAAAAGTTCAGGAATTTTATCAAATGATTCAGATGACTTTGGATGAAATTTGATCATACAGCAAAAAACAGTCTATTCTTTGCAGTTCTTTCAGAAAATTTTAAAAAAATTTTGCAAAAAAATGTAAATAAATAGAAAAAAAAAATTACCATCATCTGGATGTTTTACATTTGTGAAACAACCATCTGCTGACATATATAAAAGAAGCACACCATTAGGAGGCAATTCTTTGAACCCGGAGCTCAAGAAAACTATCAACTGACTTATATTGGGCTTATAAAGTAGATATTTATGAGGATTTTCACGCTTAGCTGGCCTTTGATCTCCATTGTCTGGCTGCTGTAATTATATAATTCATCAGAAATTCACATGCACAGAAATGAACCAATGTAAAAAGAGAAAAAAATTACATTTATAGATAAAAATAACTGCAGATAATTTATGTCATTTTCATTAATATTAATTAAGCTGGTATTTTAAATTCAGACATTGTTCCTACATGGAACTAAATATTTTCAATTTAAAATGAAACATTTTCAAAAGGCATAAAAATAAAAAGGAACATATAAAAAAGATCCTCATCTTATTAAAAGTTCTAAAAGAACCACTGAAAGAAAATATATACCATATATCCCCCTAAGAAAATATATTAAAGATTCTTTTGCTTCTGTCTAACAGAATATAAATCAGTACTCAGCATCACTTTTAAAGTAGAGTCTAATTTCATCCATACAGGAAATTTGGTGCTAAGCATATTTTATTGAAACTGAAAGTAAATAATCTTAAAGCTATTTCTCAGCTCAAACCACCACATCCCTTTTTTTTTACCCCCTAATTAAAGTACTTGTTCTTTTCAAGAATTTAGCCAATCTTCCAGCAAACAGCAGGATAATAATTTTTCCCAGTTTCCAAAGCATCTGAAATCTTTAGCCATTGGCAATTATTCTAGTTCTGCTCATACACATGTTCATTGCTCTACCTCGAGAGCTTCTCTTTCTAATTTTCATAGTAAATTTTCATTTTTGCAGACTACTATGGAAATTTCATGCTGAAATTTTAAAAAACTCCCATAAGTAAGCTGTATTATACCCAAATAAGAAGCTTCTTCTATTTAAATAGAAAATAGCATGCTGGAACAAAATAATAATTGCTAAGTAAATTTGCTTTTCTAATCAACTATGGATATTTGGTGTGCAACATATTTAAACAGGAAATACTCGGTATTAGTGTTAATAGAGATTTTAACTGTAAAATTTAAAAGGTAATTCAAATGTTAAAAACAGGTCTGCATCCACCACTTGCTGCGTCAAAAATACTATCCCTGGTTCACTTTTAATGACAGGTCACTCAAAAAGTATATGAAAGGCAGTAAGATACAGTAAAATGAATTTATATTTAAATGGACCCTAGCACTTTATTAGTCTTTCCTTGCAACCAGTAAGTATATTCATTTGTTTCAATACATAAATGCACTTTTATTGGAATAAAGAAATCCATTTCATAGACCTCCCCCAAAAGAAAACAGGAATGCTAAAAACTTGTATTCCATTTGATTCTTCAAAGTAATGATCTGATTCTATTTTGTGATATCTTCATCTATTATATATAGCAAGACCTTACATTCCCAAGACATTTCGAAAATTGTGTTTTAATTGCATACATAATTTAGCTCATCCAGCCATTCGAACGATGCCAAAATTAGTTCGTACTCGATATGCGTGACCAAATATCAACAAAGATATCACGAACTGGGCAAGACGGTATATTTCGTGTCAGAAATCTAAAATACACAAACACACTTCAGCCCCTTCACAATCATTTAATAAAACTTCTACACAATTTTACTATATTCATATTGATCTCATCGGCCCACTTCCATCTTCCAATGGATTCACATATTGCCTAACAGCTACTGATCAGTTTACTAGATTGACAGAATATATCCCCCATCATTAATATTCAAGCTACAAAGGTAGTGGAGGACTTCTACACCAACTGGATCGCCTGCTTTGGTGTACCAGCTGCTATTACAACTGATCAAGAACGTTAGTTCGAGTCTCGTTTATTTAAGGCTCTAACTAAACTCCTAGGCATACAAAGAATACGCAGAACTGCTTATCATCCTCAAAGCAATGGCTTAATCGAGGAAATTCACCATACTTTAAAAGCTGCATTAATGTGTCACGACACACTAAAAATGGACAGAAGTTTTACCAACTGCGCTACATGGTTTGAGAGTGGCCTTCAAAGAAACCATCAGTTGCCCGTCCGCTGAACTTGTGCACAGAACTACCATTAAACTCCCATGTAAATTTTTTCAACACACATCCGATATTGCAACTGATTATATTGAATACATCGAACAACTTCGAAGTTGCATGCAGCAACTTAAACCAAAATTAATTGGATCACATACAGCAAAAGCAGTATTTATTCACAAAGACTTAAAAATGTCTTTGTGCGATTTGACACAGTATGACGGCAGTGTACAAGCACTGTACAATGGCATTTTAAAGTTCTCAAACACGGTGAAAAGTGTTCAAATTATCCATACATAGAAAATTTTTTCCAGTCTCAAGTGGCCAGGTGAAACCAGCATTTTTGTTGAATACCGTCACGGAGACTTACCCTCCTGATACTTTGAAACCTAGATCTGCCCATCATGCCAAAACAAATATTCGTCATACTCGTTCAGACAGACATGCGCTTTTTCTCGATTTTTAAGTATTATCATGATGATACTGGAGGGGGAATACGCAGCGAACCACACAGAGATCAGAAAATAATGTGTGAGGTCTCTGCAAGTCACTGTTTCAAAGCTTTTACTATGTGTCACACGACATGGTTCTCACATCGCAATAATTTGTTACAGTTGACAGTACATTAGTCATAACTTCACAACCAGTGTTAAGAGCTTTTAGCGTGCTGCACTGTGTCTGTCGTCAAAGACTCTTGATTTCAGGAAGGCTGACGAACCAATGATCTTGTTTCCCCTTTGATATCGTTCCAGATATAACGAATCAGAGGATGTAAAATACTACTGAAAAATTAAGGAGGCGTGGGTTGCCGACTTTTTCCATCAAAATAACATATCAGAATGCTCTTGAACTCTCAACTAAAGAAGCCCTCATTATCAGGAACCTCACATCATAAGAACTATACTTTACTTCAATAACTGTTCTATGCTACCCATGAATTATATATATTTGTATAGAGCTTCTCATAATTGTAATAAATATGTTTTGAGTTTAAAATGCAGCAAGTATTATGCAACCTCACAAATGTACTAATTATTATATGGAGTCAGATGTGCTACCTGCCGCTCAATCACCCACAAGTTACTCTATATCCTTGCATATAAAAATCTTACACTTTTTTGGTAATGCAGCATTAATGGCTATTTCCATCTTGCAATACTGAGAAGAGATAAATTATATAGATAATAATTTTCTCAATTTGCTGTTTTTTACTGAAATCCTCTATCTGCAGCCATCTATGATAACTCAGTAATTAATGCAAGCTTACTATGTCTGCTCTGTTAACATTTCTTTCTTCTTACAAGCAGCTTCATTTTCTGCCAGTTCTGGTACAGTCTAGAAGGCAAGTTTGTGTTCTAAATTTGCATTAATATGGCAAACTTACGTGAATGCAATTATCTGATCCTCATTATAATAAAAACATTATATAATCAGAGTATGTTAAATTTCTGTAAACGATAATGTAAATCAATGATACAACTGATTAAAATAATATTTTAGAAATTTATTTCTTAAAATTTTTGGAACTTCCGAAATTATCTCAGCTTTTAAGCTATTGATAGAAAGATTCACTCGAGTGTATGTTATAAGCAACTGATCGTTATGATAAACAATAAGGGTTAAAGCATAATGTATAAGTTTGATCATTCCACAAAATATCTTAATATACATATATGTAAGACAAATACAAGAAAGAATAAAAATTACAAATGGAATTCTTCCAGGAGCAGGAGATGCATCAAAAAGTTGAGTAGTTTCTTCCTGAGGTTCTCTTTCCAAAGTTTGCAGCATGCGAAACATATCTAATGTAAGTTCACTAAACTTCACCTACAAAAAGAAATTAAATAAATAACATATAGTAGCTTTTGTAATACTAATTAATTTAAAGTACTTCATTATGATTTTTTAAGATATACATCAAGATTGAGAAACTATACAACATATGATTAACAAACTGTACTAGTATCTTAGTCGATTTATATCTGAATTGTCACTGGTATGTATATAATGATTCAGAAGTGATGATGCAAAAAGAAAAACCACTAGACAGTACTAAAAATGTTACGTACACAGTCATGGAAGAATATAACGGTGCAAGCTCACAAAAACTCAGCATGAATAAAAACAGAGATCTAATAAATTACTCTTTTAGTGCACCATATAAAACAAAAGCTTTTCTGATAAGTGCTTAATATATACAGACATTTAAAATTATTTTCTTATTGACTTTGATGTGGGAAGACTGTAGAAATTTACTGTATTATAAGGTTAATGTGTGCTGTACACTAAACGCTAAACTACCTGGCATCTAAGCTTACCTCTACTATCAATAAATCAGCAACAAATCTAACTAAGGATATTTTGAAGAGCTAACCATGGCTGATGTAAGGATTCACGAAGCTCTGCAGCCCTAGAAATGTTCTAAACCAGTAGCATGATCAAGAAGGTTGGAATAGATGTAGTAAGCCTCTTGTATACTCCGTAATCAAAACCAAGTTAAATAAACATCATTACATTGAATATCATACTCCGGATACCAAGATGATGTGCGACTAGGATTTTAAATTGCCCTTCTTGAAATGCTTAAAAATTTACTATTTTCATGTCTAAAATTTAAAGCCCCCTTCACTTTGATCAACTGAAAGTTAAAAAAAAAAAAAATAAAAGCCTATGATTAATACTGCAACAAAAATTATTTCGCTCTACAAAATAATATTTGTAATCACATTGCTTTATACCTGCATACTTTCCTCTATTTAAATTACACTTTATTATTTCATCAAAATTAATTCTGCTTAAGTATTTAATTATTTTTAACAACACATATAGAATACAAAGAGGTTTATATACATGGAAGTTTTCAAAGCAAAAATTGCTGATTATCTTGTTGATATTAAAATAATTATTAGTATGCCAAAATTTTCACATTAAAACCTTTCAGACTTTCAGAACTTAATGTTAAATTCAAATCCTAATTCATTTTTAAAAGTGTATTGCTGATGAAAATAAAATGATACATCATATAGATTTCGAAAATCAACAAATCTTGTATATCAGCTCACTGTTGTTAGACTAAAGTAGATGTCAAAAAATGGCATAGCTGATGAACTAGAATATGAAACATCAAAAGTTATTGAAATAATTTTATGCTGTGTTGTAGCACCATTTCAAAGAAACAGTGATGGGTGATTTTTTTCACTTAGCCCACAAAATTACTTCTTTATGGCAAAATCATCATCCATTAAAGAGTGGGGAGGAAAATGCTCTCAAAAATAAAAAAAAAAAAATTAATAATGCTTTAAAGTGTGATATTATTCAAAGAACTCTCTTTTGTGCAAGAGTAAATTGCAAAATTTACTCGTGTAGCCCATTACACTGTCAATTTTCTTGCTGGAACACACACAAGATTGTCACAAAGTTTTTTTCTGTTCTCAGGATGAGTTCTAATATATATTTCCTTACATCCATGGAAAGTGTTCCAGGAGAATAGTACTTTGTTGCTTTTTTTCCCTAATTCCAGATGTTAATGGAGGCCTGCAGGAGACAGGTACATTTCCCTATTGGGAAAAAGAAATCGATGCATGACAGCTCAGTTGGTGGCAAATGAGTTTCTTGCTGCTACAGGACAGTGGAATATCCTGAAAAACTGTAGCCAAACATTTGGGAGAAGGAGGACAATATGGCCATAGATTTGTTGTATGTGTGCCCCACTGTTCAGACAGCACTGTACTGCCTGTCTGCAATATCATGAACACTGCAATTGGACTGAACAGGACTGGGCTTGAGTAACATTCTCAGATGATAGTAGCATAAGTCTGTGATCATCTTGTAGTTGCCAAATGATCTGGCATCAGAGTAGTACTGCTAATCATTCAGAAAATATCCACAAAAGTACCAATATCCGAGATGCAGTATCACAGTATGGGCTGGCATCATGATCAATGACTGCATGCCCCTCTCTGTGAAATTATGACTGACCAGCATTATATTAATACACTTTCAATGCTTCATGTTCCCTTTTTCCATGAGGCTTCCTCTATTTAATTAATTCTATAAAATTAATTCTGCTTAAGTATTCAATTATTGGCAAATGTGATATTTTAGTGTAATATATACACTGTATATGATACATTACCAGAATGCCTTTTATATTTACTCTTGAGCAGCCTAAAAACTCTTGTCTACTGATGACTATTCTTCTTTGGAATCAGAATCCAGGCTTGAATCAGAGTTTCTCAAAACTCTTGGTTGGAAAAAGTCCTAGACACTGTATTGTTTTGCCACCACTAAAATAATAATCAGTAAGCTCGTTCTCACAGGAATAGTTCAACAAACTACCTGCACACAAGTTTTCATCCTCACCTTTTATTTTACCGTGCTCTATTTTTAAGAATTTACTATAAAAAAATCCCTGTGTCACCAAAAAAACCACGGATAATTCATAGAAAATCAGTTTTGTTTTCTCCTGCACTTCAATAACAATCTGCACAAAATGTGTTCAGTAATTTTCCGTGCTTTGATAATATATATAAAACGAGTTTAGTTTTTCACACTTAAGAAGTATTTACATAAATTTGCTTTATAACGCATGACCAAGTTTATTCAACCCCGTATAACAAGATTTTGGTGTAAAATATATTAACAATTAACATACATTTTTCAGTAATTTTTTTTTTTTTTTTTTTTTTTTTTTTTTTTTTTTTTCAGAAAAACTGTTAGAGACCACAGCTATGCCAAGGCTTTGAACAACATTAAAACTCTCATTAAATCATAAGGCATAGGTATTCTAAAATTTACTTAACCAAAACACGAATAGAGGTAAAAAAAAGGTAGCAAAGTAAGTGACTTATGACATTTACCTATGAAATGTAACATTAGATGGTATGTGACCGGACTGATTACTGCATTTAGATATACTAAAACAACTCATTTGATTCATTCAAAGAACCTGCCAATTAATTGGAAATCTAAACAAATCCAAAATATTGACAATGTAAGCAAAATGTGATTTAATTCAAATGCTGAACTTCTATGGTATCACAACCAGCTTGAACCAATTTTCTCGCATGACGGCCTATAGCAAATCAATGCTTCAGAATTAAGACAACCTATAACCTTTTTTAGGAAACCACTTACACACCATTTATTCAAATTTCCTTGGTCAACGTAATTTGGACTTCAGACAAATTCCTTTATGTCTGTTGTTTTCCTTATTCTAAAGCATACACAGGTAGCTGTTTGCAGTAAGCTTAATTTGTAAACTTGTTAATTTGTAAATTTATTTGTAAATTATTTATATCAAAAATTGCTTAACTTTCAAAATGATATTATAATCATAATGTTTTAGCTAATACAGTAAATCCGTGTTGGTATAGTGATTTCCTGTTATGTTTTACCACCAATCCTCGAGTTCCATATCACAGATTATGTTCTTACTGCATTAATATAAATATTAACGAGACATAGTGCACAATACAAATTAAGCTTTATTTCGGAACCTCGCGCACACTGCCCGAGAGCCTGCCTCTCTTCGCTCTGCTCGCTACTCGTAAGAAACTTCTCCTCTAGGGTTGCCACACTTTATCGGAGGGCGCAAGGCGCGCTCCTTATCGCCATCACCACATTGGATACAAATTTGAGGAGTGCGATTTTGTGTGTATGAGTCATCTTAATTATCTCCATTTAATTTGCCCAATGCAAGAACTTCAATTATACACAATATGCTGCAGTGCATCAGCCATGTTGAGTTAGTCCTCTTCAATGACTGATTTAAAAATTAATTTATTAAAGAAGTCAGACATTACTTAGAATGGCAAAACCTGAGCTTTAAATTCTTTGTAATGCCCAAGACATAGTAATGAAGGCCTCCCAACACTGCATCCAAATGTACAGGTTTTATTACTTCCACCAAACACCACTTCCTTAATTTAACTAATGGATCAAGGAATCATAAAAACATTCAAAGCCTATTATATCAGCCATATTTACATCTCTGCAAATAAAGAGGTAGATGAAGGAAGCCAAAAATTCAGAAGCATCACAGGATGCTGCACAGAAATCACTAAACTCGCATGGGAACAAGTAAATTCATCAACAATGAATGCTTGCTAGCATCAGCATTGGCACATATTGTCAACAATTCATGGCTTGAAAATAAAGCCATGGAAATCATACAAATTGCAAAAGCTATAGGTGGCAAAAGATTTTGTGACATGGAATAGGAAGAAACAACAGAAATAATGGAAAATGGACAGAAAACTAGTGACAGTGAAGAAGATAAATAACCTTTAACCCAAAAGAAGTTAAACAATTGTAAAAAAAAAAAAAAGAGAGAGAGAGAGAGGCATTGGAAGTGTTTGATTCCATAACAGGCACTGAAAGATGCTGAAACTTTATGATGAAAAAAGAAGAGGACACTTTATGAGAAGTGTTGAAAAACTTTGCACTCTTTAATACAAAATTTTAATGAGTTGTGTCAGCAAAAATCACCAGCTATTTAAAAAAACTATTATATCATATACCAACTTATTAAGCAGTAAAAGAAATCTTCTCAATTAGCATTTATTTCATTTCTCCATGTTAATAAAAAAATTATTGAGGTTTATCTAAATCATATATACTTTCTTAAACTAAACTATATGTAACTTATTTGTTTTAATGTTAGAAAGTTAAACAGGGTTCGTATACATTTCTGCACATGGAAATTAAGTACTTTTAAGGACTTTTAAGGATCATTAATGAAAAAACTTAAGGACCTATGAGCAAATGGGAACTGAATAAATTCAATTAAAAATATTATCTATGCCTGAATTTCACTTTTTAAATAC